AAACCTAAACTCATTGTCAATATTAGATCTTGCTGAAGTGTTGATGCATCTCAATCCCCACTATATGCACCTTTGTCTATTATCATTTCACAAATAGTCTTTTTTATGATCTTCAATCATGTTGGTGTTAATTTGAGGGCTAAAAGTGTAATTTCACAATGATAATATATCTTTTTTGTCATACACAATTCCAAATGCTGTTCCATTTGCGTCGTTTGTGAATTACAGTCTCTTTCTACTACAAGTATAGTCTACAAATGTGGTCTTTCGTCAGAATTCTAGCCCACAATCATATTCATTATTTTTGTGTTATCCGCTTAACCAATATCAGAACACATCACTAAACATAATGTTGATGTCAAATTATATTTTTAGCCTTTAAATTAATACCAACATGTCAGAAGATCAAAAAAAAGACCATTTGTGGAAAGGCACCCTTTAAAAAAGGACTACGGAGGTAATATTTGATAATAGAGGACTAAATATGGAAACCCCCCTATTATAAAGGACCAATTATGGAATTTACTCGCTTTAAACATTTAACAAACTGAGCATTTTGCTTCAAAATTTTAAATAATTAAAAGTTTTTTGGACCCTAGATTTTTAAAAAATTGCATGGATTCACCCCAAATTTTAAAAATTACACCAATCCTCCATGAATTTTTAAAAATGTTAAACCAATGGTCGCACTATGTCAAATTTAGGGCCAATCCTTCGGTGCCTCTTCTAAAGTGGGGGTTTTAAACCCTCCCCATGTGGCGCAATTAGAAAGAGGCATGTGAACATAATATTTCACTTCCTTTAAGAACTTAAATTATTCTTGTTAATTCAATATTGGCCTTAATCCAAAATTAATTTATTTTTCTTCCCTTCAGCGCCATCATACGTTAACGCCATCTCCATTAGTTGTTTTGCGTCTCCATCTCCATCCAACCTAGCATCGTATTTTCCATAGGACCGTCTCCACCACCGCCACCTTCGTTCAGAGTCGTTATCTCCATCCAGCGCCATCGACGGATTCGGCCCTTCAAATTCAACCCTAGATCTGCTCAATCTCTTGCTTTTTTTTCTTAGGTTCCCTTCTATCAATTTTTTCAATGATTAGATGTAATTCTTGTGAGACGTACGAGTATTATGTTCTGAAATCTCGTTTTCTTGTCCCGAACATGTTTATTTCTCATTTTTAGTTTGTTATTATATATATATATATATATATATATATATATATATATAAATATATATATATATCCAAAGTTAGACTAACTTTTAAAAGAATACAACAAAATGAAAGTTGGGATTATTTTTAGTGAATTTTTGTTTTTTATTTATTTAAATATTATTTATGTTTTAAAAAAAACTTTCAACATAAATTTCTATTTCCTTTTTTTAAATATTATTCTTATCTTATAAAAAAATAAGTATGAAATACCAAATATAAAAAATAAGTATAAAAATATTAAATATAAGATTTAGTTATTTTTCTCATTTTTGTTATTTTTTATATCTAGTTTTTTATTTATATCCAAAGTTAGACTAATCTTTAAAAGAATACGAATGATGGAAACCAAACTAAAAATGAGAAATAGACATATTTGGAACAAGAAAATGAGATTTCAGAACATAATACTCGTACGTCTCACAAGAATGACATTTAATCAATGAAAAAATTGATAGAAGGAAACCTGAGAGAAATAAAACAAGAGATTGAGCCGATCTAGGGTTGAATTTGAAGGGCCGGATTCGTCGATGGCGCTGAATGGAGATAATGACTCTAAACGAAGGCAGCGGCGATGGAGACGGTCCTCTGGAAAATACGATGCTGGGTTGGATGGAGACGCAAAACAATTAATGGAGATGGCTTTAATGTATGATGACGTTGAAGGGAAGAAAAATAAATTAATTTTGGATTAGGACCAATATTGAATTAACAAGAATAATTTAAGTTCTTAAAAGAGGTGGAATATTATGTCCACATGTCTCTTTCTTATTGCACCACATAGGGAGGATTTTAAAACTCTCACTTTGGAAGAGGTCCCGAAGGAACTGCCCAAATAAAAGAGTGTGTTAATCACACGTTTATCCAGTGTAAGTATGGATCCATGTAAGGTTATATTTCACGCATGAGTTCTGCAATATGTTCTTCCCAAATATTTTTTTCTATATTTTTAATTTCATAAAACCCTAAATAATTATTTTAGATTTAGTCCTCGTTAATCGAATTTGAAGGACGGACATTAGTCAATAAAGTTCATTATTAATCGATCAATCTCTTCATTAATCTATGGTATCTTCATCAAACTTCAACACGTATACTGATGGGCGTGTGATTATCGCACTCTAAAATCTGGCACATAGGGACTAGTGGCATAACATTTTTAATAGTTCAAGGGGTATTGATGCAATTTTTAAAATTCAAGATGAATCTGTGCAATTTTCAAAAAGAAAAGGTGCAAAAAACTCATAATTAAAAGTCAGGAGTTTTTAGGGTTATAGTTTAAGCATTGTAGATCAAATCATCAAAATCCAAAAAGTAAGCAGATGCTAAAATTCAAACCAAGTAACAGTGTTCTAAAACACACATTTATGTTCTAATCTAGAACCCCAAATTCAGTTCTAAACTAAACGGATTGAGGCAAAGGAATGATTTTTTTAATCATATTCAATACAAAATTTCAAACAAATCGGTTGACATGTTCAAGAGATTCTTCTGGATAAAAACAAATATGTCTGGAACAAAAGCTTGGCGTCTCCATCTCCATCCAACCTAGCATTGTATTTTCCAGAGGACCGTCTCCATCGCCGCTGCCTTCGTTTAGAGTCATTATCTCCATTCAGCGCCATCGACCGTCTCCATCGCCGCTGTCTCTTTCATATTGAATTGCTTTGAACTGGGCGTCTGGAACAAAAGCTTGGCGGGTTTATTCCGACATGGGAAGAATTTGTTTTTATTTTATTTTTTTCTTTTTTATTTGCTCCTCTACATTGAACTCTCTACCCGATTTATTTTTTGAATACCTCCCAAAAAATTCATACTAATGAATTGGATTAGACATATTTGTTTTGATCTCTCTTCTCGTCTACCTCGAGTGTGAGACTTGGAGGACTCCCAACACGATGTAATTATGCATGATCAAAGTTTGAGCCGGACTAGAGGAGCAATGCAAATTCAGTTATTGACTTAATTATTTTGTTTGAAATCAATTTAATAAATATTTTTCTATGCTCATAAGCTTGTTACAAATTGTTTATGAGTTATTCTTAACTTATAAGTCGTCTGTCAACGTGTTTTTCTACTTTTATAAGCTGACTAATAAGCGACTTATAAGTCAAAAAATAAGTAGGGTTTTCCTACTTATTTTTAAGTCAGTTTTTCATCCCCAAATGACTATTTTTTATTTCATTTTTATAAAAGAATATTTGACTTATAAAAAACTAATAACATAAAAACTACTACTTATTAGCATTAAGCTACTAATAAACAAAGTGATGTAAGTTTATACGATGTACAATTTGATTTTTACTTGAATTGATTACTCGCATTTTAAACTCATTTGGTAATTAATTATGCATTTGTTAATGTTAATTTACGTTTATTATCATTTCTTTATTCATTGATGCCTCAAATGCTTGGGCTTGTGAATATTTATGCAGTTGTGACTCTAGCATTTTCCTATACTGTTTTCCTGCAATTCTTGGGATAGAGTCTAATTCCACCATAAATTTGCAAGTGAAATTTTCCATCCCCTTGGAAAAGAGAATGGACATTTTTTCACGGTTAAAAATGTCCATTAGTTTTATATGTATATATGTTATCATTTTATACCAATATATAAATAAATTGAATTAAATTCCATTTCGAACAACATTATAAACCAAGATGGTGAAGTTTAAGAAGGGACAGAAGAAATATCTTAAGGTCAGTTTAGATAATTTTTTCAAAACACAAAAACTAAAAAATGAAGATATTGTCAAACAGGCACATAAATTTTAAGGAACCAATTCTTAGAAAGAATGGATATTTTAAAAAAACAATCTTTACTTTCGAATAAAAAAAAGTCTACATACATACACCATTTCGTAGACCCTATTTTTTTATGGAATTAGGGTTTGTTATCATAGCACCTGCAATGGGTGCGAAGAAGAAAGAATGTGCCTCTATGGCACCCGTACACACCTCCCCTAACGACGCTATGTGCAAAATAAATATTACTCCGTACAAAATAAAAAATATTACGTGACTCTCTAATTAACGACGCTATTTTTTAATTAAAAAATAAAAAATATTACATCCATGAATAATAATGAAAAATAAATACTCCCTCCGTCCCAATTTAAATCGCCTGTTTTGATTTTTGGGCATATTTAAGTAAAATAAAAAATAGAGTTGATTTTTTGAAATTGACATTACTTTTTAGGAGGGGTGATGATGAATAAGAAGATAAGGTGAAGAAGAGTGACTAATTTTAGGGGTAGTTTAAGTATTTTATTTTTAAAAGTTTACGAAAACAACTAACAGGCAACTTATTTTGGGACGGAGAAATAAGGCAAACAGGTAATTTAAAATGGGACGGAGGGAGTATCATTTACAGGACTCCTCTCACTAGTTTGAGATGACCGAAGTGAATGTTGGGAGATGCAATACTAATCAACAATTGCAATGGTTATAGGGGAAAACATTGCTCCAAATGACTGTTTTTATTGGTATGGCCAAAAGAAAAAATAGATCAGCACTGTCTAATTGCTATTCAAAACTGCACACTATCCTCACTGAACACATAGGCTCTAATATTATTATTATTATCATCATCAAAAGTACACTTACACTATGTTTGGTTCAAGGAATTTTAAAGGGAAAAGAAAAGAAAAATGAGAGGAAAAATAATTTGTCGTGTTTGGTTGGAGAGGAAAAGAGAAAAAAAAAGTGGAAAGAAAATGAAAAGACAAAATGTACTAAGTGGAAAGAAATCCAAATTTCATCCATTCTGGTGAGGAAAATGAGAGAAATACATTTTCTTTTCTTTTTTCTATCAAAATCCTTGAACCAAACATAACGTTAAAGCACATCAATGTTGAAGAGTGAAAATGTACCAACCATTCCGGCTTTGCTACTTTCCTTGGGTTCGTGCTTTAGAAAAGGGCTCACCTGGGTTGGTCGGGCAGTTTCTGCGAAAGTGGCCAATCTGTCCACATCCTAAACAAGCTCCACTATGTACCCAGCACTCTCCAGGATGATGTCTCCCACAACTGTCGCATAATTTAAATCTAAAATTAGGCTTGGTCTGGTTACTGCCAGCCACATGAATCGCCTTTGAGGATTGGCCTTTCTTAGGCAATGGACCTTTAGTGGGACTCTTGCCAGCAATGTTGTTCTCCAACTTGTGGAAACACTTCGGTGCCGGTGTAAACTCAGCTTCTACCTCTGCCTTACGCTTATGCAACTCGCATTCCTGCACAACATCAAACATATCATGCAACAGCTAATTTTCCAATATACGTTTTGGTTAAAAAAACATATGTGAATTTTTTGAATGTTCACGTCATATTTTTGTGAGTTGGAACTAAAATTAGAGAGAAAGACCCCACAATCATAACTCTAGAATAAACTCGTTGGTGTAGAATTTCATGGGTTGGGCATAGCAATAGGAAGGTGCCCAACTTCAGAAGACATGTGAAGCATTTCTTGTCATTGGACTATTTGAGGCATTGGTCATGATAGCTAATGACTTGCCCTTTTTCTTTTCAAGAAAAAAAACTTAGGAAGATAATTGTAAGCTTTAAGAAAAGTACTTTAAATCGAAAATCAAGTATGGGATCCTAAATAAACTACCCGAAATTCCTATCTACCAGGTTTGAGCTAGTGTATTTTCTAGTGCATCAAAAAACGCTCATTATAACTAGTAAACAAATTGATCAAACAATTAATCAAATAATACCATAGACCAAATCTGTCTCACATAATGTTACTCCGTACATTATTAGTATTATCATGAAGAAGATAACTATGTTATTACGGAGTATTTTTCTTCAATAATAATAGAAAAATTGAAAGAATTATCTCAACTATTGTTAATCGGTTAGTTCCGGCTATAGTTTTAGTAAAAAAAAACCCCAAATAAGACTTTGTCTTAAATTTCCTAGAGAGACCTAATTACTTAATTAATAAGTAAATTAAGTAATCAAATTAAGTAATTACTTAATTAAATTTCCAAAATGCCCTTCTTTCCACCACTTCCATTTCAACGACCAATACAATACTTTCATCAATGTCCATTCTCATTGTTAATGTCTTTTGCACAAAGTTCATCTACATGGTTTCAATGTCAACCACTCCACCACCGGCCACTGCCACCTTTGCAAGTGCCCTTCGGGATGTCTCTATTAGTCACCATGGTAATGCCTCCGGTAATATCCATCAATCAATCACCTTGGCATTATTGCCAATTCAGATTTCCATTGACTTAATTCGGCCCACCAATGTCGACAATACTCCAGCTTTCAATGTCATTACGTAAACAAAGAAAAAATGAGTAGGTGGTTGCGATAGCTTGGGAGGTGGGGGTGGTTGGTGATGTATAATTGTATACAGAGATGGAAGAGTGGTACTTGAGGATTGGTCGCCGGCAGCATTGAGATTGGGGGAGAGGTAATGGATGAAGATCATCCCACCACTTGTTTAATCACCAAACAAATCCTAAGCAACCATTAGAATTAAAGATCGCTTTTACTCCCTTCGTCTTGCAATAAAAATCCTATTTGATTTCATAGTGTTTTATGCAAGATAATCTTTGGTTTTAATCTCATTTTGCCCCTATATCTAAGTGGGGTGGGTTAAGAAAGGTTAATGAATAAAAATGTGGGTGGGCTGGAAAAAGGTGCTTAGAGTATTAGGCTTTTGCTACAAGATAATCCAAAAGTAAAACTTTTCCCAAATAATAAAATGGAAATCTAGTTGTGGATGAAAGGAGTATTTATCATAAAAATAAGGCTCAACTCTCATTTTAAGGTAATTTATTGGTATATATATTACCTTTGCTGCACATTGTAATTCTCTAGTCCCTGCACATTTAAACAAATGTGACTGTAAGAACCATGTGCCATTCCTAGTACTCAATGCAATATCAAACAGATAAATAAATAGCTATAACATAAATACCTGAAATACAAATGACCCCTTCATTATTATCCTGTAATTCTTCAGAGTAGACATTGCAATTTCCTCCTGTCCAGTGAAACTTTTCGCCACAATGAAAACAATTTCCTTCTTCGGCCACGCTACCTGTTGGTTTCAAACCTTGTGTGATCGAAGATATGTCGGGACTAATTTTACCGATTTCTTTCTCAGAATCCTTTATTATTTGAAGTAGATTTGGCAGGGATTTGTCAATTTCATTCAATTTAGTGTCCATGATATATTGACATAGACTAGCAGGCAACGATTGAAGAATTAAATCAGTCGCCAACTCTTGGCCCAAAGGATATCCCAAGTTCTCAAGTCTTTCAAGGTAGCCTATCATTTCTTGAACATGAACTTCAACAGTTTCTTTTTGTGGCGAAAATTTACAACGAAATAAGGTCTTAGAGAGTTCAAACCTCTCTTGCCTAATTTCTCGTTGGTAACGGTGCTTCATAGTCTCAATCATATCAAATGCGTTCTTATCCTCATGGAGAAGCTGAATCTCTGGAGTCATGCTGGCAAATATCAGCCAAGAAACGTCTAAGACATCATTTTCATGCTTCTTATAGGCAGCCTTTTCAGCCATGGTAGAATCTACCGTAGGTGGTTGAGGAAGAATTGTTTCAAAAACATAAAACTTTCCTTCATGCTCAAGGACTGTCCTCAGGTTTTTGTACCAATCTAGAAAATTCTCTCCACTAAGCTTCTCTTGCTCCAGGATAGAGCGGATTGATGATGTGTTGGATGTATTATCCGTCATGAATATCTACCATAAAACATGCAAAAGTAAACATTTCATGATCTAAGTTATCATTTTATGTTTCCACCAAACAACAAGCAATGTAGTCAAATCCCATAAGTGGAGTATAGGTTTAAGTAGACCTTACACTACCTAGAAATTGCATAGAGGTTGTTTATCCTATGTTGCCACCGGCTTATTCAAAATAAGTCATCAACAATAACAACAATCCTAGTAAAATAGTCATCACTCTTAATTAAAATAAATTATAGCATTACGTTTTCTAGGGAGTGAAGCTCATAATTCCCCTAAATTTGAGTGAGGTTGAATTTGTCACAACACAAAAGTATTTAACACTTTTATTTAGATCGACACCTAGACATCACTCGTAAATTGCATCACATGAATATAATAATTACTTGGGCAAACAACTCTTCCAAAAAAATTTCTTTGAACAATCTCAACACATGCCTCTAGGTTTCCGACCCCATCAAGCCAAAACTGTAATGTCAAAACTAATGTTTTGCAATTTAAATCCCTCTATTCCCTAAACCTTCCACCAAAAATAAAACCCTGCAATTTACTTCGACTATCCAAAACAACTCAACATAAACACTCACAATTGCAATCAATTAGAATCTACAAGAAGATTATAAACCTAAAATCATTGTCAATATTATATCTTGCTGAAGTGTTGATGCATCTCAACCCCTCATGGATAAAAGATTATGGACTTTGCTTTAAAATTTTAAATAGGAAGTGATTACAAGTCAGGAGTATTTAGGTTTACAGATAAAGTTGTAGATCAAACCCCAGAAAGTAAGAAGATGCTAAAATTCAAACCAAGTAACAGTGTTCTAAAACACAAATTTATCTTCTAGAATCCCAGATTCAGCTCTAAGCTAAATCGGTGAAGGTGAAGGAATGAAAGAAAATCATCAAATCGTCATATCTTTTGAATCCAAATCAACAAAATATCATACATAACACAGAGTTTCAAACAAATCGATTGAGATTTTCAAGAGATCGTTCTGGAGAGAATTACCTCGAGGTTTTGGCGGGAAAAAAAGAATCAGATATGGAGGGCAACACGTGTCCGTCTCTCTGATATGAATCGCTCTGCTACTGATAAGAAAGCCTTGGTTGGTTTATTCCGGCAAAGAGAGAAATAATAGTATCACAAATTTTACAAACTTATTAGTGTAAATTCTATAATTAGTCCTTTATAACAAGAGTTTTCTTTATTTAGCCCTCTATTATCAAATATTACTTCAGTAGTCCTTATTTTATGGGTACCTTTCCACAAATAGTCCTTTTTTGATCTTCTATCATGTTGGTGTTAATTTGAAGGCTAAAAGTGTAATTTCACAATGATAATATATCTTTTTTGTCATACATAATTTCAAAGACTATTCTGTTTACGTCGTTTGTGAATTACAGTCGTTTTCTACTACAACTATAGTCTACAAATGTGGTCTTTTGTCAGAATCTAGCCCATAATCATAGTCATTATTTTTGTGTTATACGTTTAACCAATATCAGAAAACATCACTAGACATAATGTTGATGTCAAATTATACTTTTAGCATTTAAATTAACACCAACACGGCAGAAGATAAAAAAAGGACCATTTGTGGAAATGCACCCTTAAAAAAGAACTACGGTGGCATTATTTGATAATAGAGAACTAAATATGGAAATCCCCATTTTATAAAGGACCAATTATATAATTTACTCAAGTTATTATATTGATTTTTAAACTTTAACTTTTTAAATTATTCTCTACTTTATAAAATTAAATTATTTTATTCTTGTTTAAAATGCATATTTTGATTCAAAACTAATATTCATCTTATTTTTCAATGTTATTATACTCTTAATTTTCTAGTAAAAAATCCTTAGCCCAATATTATCTAAGGAGAAGGACCAAAGTAGTAGTAAAATATATAACATATCCTCAAAATAAGAGTTGAAACATAAACTCCCTTAAATAGGAGTAATTAACTTAATTAATCTAATAGCTTAGAGTTAAGGAACGAAATAGAAGTAAAACATCGACCATGTTCCAAAATAGAAGTTATATTCATATTGCAATGAAATTAAATACATTTTATCAATTAAAAAAAATCTAAATTAGCTACAGCCCCTGCCGTACATGTCACTGACGCCACTCTTTTTGCCAATACTGCCATTCCCGTCACTACATCGCCACAATCTCTTGCTGTCATCGCTATTAAATACGGCCACCATCTACATTGTTGCTGCCACTAACACCGCCACGGTCGGCACTATCGCCGTCATCGCCACCACGATCTACCGCTCTCATGCTCATTTGTCGCGGATGCTGCCTCCATCGCACCCATTTTCTGCTGTCAATGTCGTCATTGTCGCCACCATAATGCCATGGTGTCACTGCCAAGGGAGAAAGCTTTCAATTCCAATACAATGTCAACCAAAGAATGTCAAAGACGATATTGCATACTGACAAACATGTCATTGCATAATGCCGAGCATGTTATTGCGTAATGCCAAACATGTCAATATAAAATATAAAAAAAAGTGAAATATCAAAATTGCCAACATACAATGTCAAATTTCTTATTAGTATCACCAAATTTTGCTGAAATTGGGAGTAAAATTTAAACACAACTAA